AGTCAGAGACAACCCTGTTTGCCCAGACATGCTCATGGCTGATGTGCTTGTGTTGGCTTATAAGGGAGAGAGAAAGGCAAGGAGCCTCAGAGAGGAGGACCCTGTTGAGGTCAGACCTTGTCAGGACCATCAGACTTTGGAATGTATGTCTAGAAACTATTTGTGGTTTTTTTCTTCTCTATTCAAGAAAAGGGAAAAAAAGACTCTTTCTGTAAATAAATAAGATCACATGGAGAAATACACATTTATGTTATCAGTCTCTTCCAAATAGAAAGGCTGTAACAGGTGACAGTATACTTACAGCCTGTTCTTCGAACCTTTAAATGCTCTCTCTCACATGGAAGAAGAACTAGGATAAGAACATCTATCTTCACATTATGTAAATTGCAGTTTGGTTTCTTTGCTGCAAGTTGTAAAAACTTTTGCAAACATTTACAATTTAGTCTAAGCCATAGGAGCTGTAACTGGTACATGGTGCTTCCAATGCAGTTTGCTTACAGGATGAAGGCCTTAGTCCCAGCCACAAAAGGAACACATACCACCAACATTTGGAAGCCTTGCTTAAGGAAATACAGACTGACAACCTCTCTTCCTACTGCAAATCACTGCCTGGTCCAATTTCCAGTCTGACTCTTTCCCCCAGCACACCTGCAGGTAAAAAGCCGTCACAAGCAACACGCCCATTCCCAGGTGAGGAGCAAGTGAGGTGATGGTGCCAGCGGTCTGTACCAAGGAGCTGCTCTTGGTCCTCCTTGGCTGGAAGGATGGTTGGTTGGTAGGTTCGGCTTGGGCTTTGAGAGGGCAAGGGAAATGAGCCACAGAACAAACAGGAGCAATAAGAAGCACCTTCAGAGCTCTGTCAAGGATTCATGGAGTGTTTTGTCTATCTGAGGGGGGAAAGAAAATGGACTAAAAAATATTCCCCCCCTGCCCCAGGCAGAGAGGGGATGCTGGAAGGATCAGGAAACACAACGGCATCTTTCACCACTGCAGCACCCAGTGAGTCTCTACTTGGCTAGTAGTAACAAAGAGCCACATTCCTGAATGCATATAGGAGTGTTAGTCCCCTGGTCTCACTGGGACTTAACACTACTAAAATGCCTGTATGAGTGCAAGCAAAAATAGACAAAACCTCTTCATTGCTGATGATATGCTTGTTTTGGCCTGTCTTTCTTGCACAGAAAAATGAACAGGCTCAGACTGCTTTGGTTTTCCCTGCATATCAGGCACTGGCCCCTAACAGGACAAGAAGAACAGGACTGAACTGGAGGGACTGGAGGCAAAGGAACCTGCAAGACCTCCAGGTCCTGCCGTGCCAGCTCACAGAGAATTTGCTGAGCCCTGTAGCCCTGCTATTACGTGGTTGCTGCCTTCAGAGGTTACAGCTCCAAACCCACCTGCAACATGAGTAGAATGGGCTTGAGCTTACTTTGCTTCTTTCCATTACTCAGGACATCCAACTACACATTCTAGTCACCCCACATCTAATGGCTTCCCTTGCTACACCACCATCTCTCTCCCAGATGCAACACCTGAAACACCCAAGGGCAGAGTGTCCTTAATTAATCATCAGGCAGATTTTTTTTTCTCTGTCTCTTTTTCCATTTCTGAGTTGCAATGTTTCCTGGCAACTTTCTGCTTGGCGTGAATTTTTACAACAGAGCAATATAACTTCTGAAAATAGACGCTTACACTGGAAAGCCTGACACACCCTATATGGAGCCTGTGAGTGGCAGAACCATAATCAAAAGCCAGTCAAGAGCCTAGGCCATGCTAGCAGCATTCAATTAAGGCTCTGAGCAAAGCAGCCCTAAGAGAAGAAAGTAAATGGGAGCTCTATAAAAGCTGTTGCACAGAACCCCCCGGGCTCTTTTCATCACCAAGAGGCATTTGAGTTTGTAGTCTTTAAGGTAACTCGAGCTTAGGGGAGTTATTCCAATATAGCTGGCACATTCAGAACTCCTTTAAAAATAAAAATTCATGGAAAAGGCCAACCAGCTGTGATTTCCTGGTATGAAACTGCATGCAAAGCCTATGGAAGAAAAAGCCGGTAGTTGTATGATACAAGTCTGAGCTCTGCCTGTCATTAACAAGGGTGGAATTTTCGGGGTAAAATTCTCCTGGACCAAATAACAGGAGACTGATAAATAAAGCCTGTCAACTGCCCTTTCTGACTCACTCTCTCCTGCTGGAGGGATGACTCACTGTCATGTGTGAAAGGCTGCCAGGTCTTGCTTACATGCTCAAACAAGCATGGGTTGTCTGTGTTAGCCGTACATTACCTCAGAAGAAGCAGACACTTTACGCTGAGAAAGCAGCCCTCAAAAGGACTCTGCTGACTAAAGGAGCTGAACTTCAAGGTATTTCTCAATCCTTTCTGGGAAATTCAAGGTTATTGTTAGATTACCACAGAAAACTTCGACCCAAAGCCATGGCTGAGGGCTTGGCTGACGATCACAGTGTTTTAAAACCAGGACTCACTAGGACCATCAGATTTTACCCAGGTAATTCCTGCAGAGTGAGCCACACAGCATGTTGTAGGTGCAGACAGAAGTAACTGAGGCCATGCCTGGTCCAGAGCTGCCTTTTGTCCAAGGAAAATTATGTGCCAAAAGCAGTCACTTGTTGCTCACTATTTCATGGCAAGAAAGTAGCCCCATGGGGCTGCTCCTCTTAAGGAGACTGTGAGGAACTTGCCTTGAATCTGGAGAGGGGTGAAGAGCATGTTGAACATCATCTCTCAGTCTGAGTAGTTCCTCGACTGCTTTTGAGCAACACCAGTAGCTGCTCAGTGCTTGCTGCTCTCTGCAGTGACATAGACCTTGTAGGTAAGTGACAGTGCACAGAAACCTTGTTTGCATCCAGGAGCTTTGCTGCCTATGTGAGTGCATGCTCCACCTTCTAGTCTTCTCCTGCTATCCCGGGCCCACCACAGGCCAAGTGTGGAGCTCCACTAAAGCTCTGCCCCAGGCAGTGCAGGGACTGTTCACAAATCCCAGTTATTAGCACATTCCACAGTCTAAATCGCCCTGCAGGACTGATGTGGCAAAGCATGCCTTTTCCTCATGCTCTTTCTAAGGCCCCATACAATGCCCATTTGCTTGCCACAACAAAGCAAGGGGCTTTTCCAAGGACCAGTGTACTGGGATGTCAATCCACAGATCAGAGATGGCACCATGTCACAGCTGGAGAGCCAAAGCTGCAGCTATCCTTTAGCATATGGATGTCTCCTAGTGCAGGAACTGAAAGGTTTCTCCCAAGACCAAGAGAAGGAAGCTGTGCTGTAGCCTCCCTGAGCTCCAGCTATGAGCCAATGTCTTGCTGCATCGTTTGGTAGGGAAACCGTGCTGCTGCAGGGCAATGATACAACAATTGCCTCTTGCATGTTTGGCCAGGTATGCACCATCCAGGAGTCACCCATGCAGCCAGGAAAGACAGCTGCACGTGCTTTGGCCCAGCCAGGCTCTCAGAAAACCTGCAACTAAAGCACCGTCTTAAGGTCTCATCAGTATTTTTCAGACAATATGAGCACTAACCTGCCTGCCCAAAATGAATGTAAAACCTAGAAATGTTAATTTTTAACAAAGAGTGTACCATTCCATGTCATATATATGAGGAAGATATAGCGGTTTCACACACAGTTCTGAATATATATTTTATATTTCTTCTCCTGTGGGAGAGAATATGTGTTTTCCATCCCACAAAATTTCTAAGATGTTATTTTTAAATATTTTTGCTCTGTGCCACAACAGATGTCTAATGAAAAGCTTGAGAGAGAAACTGCAGGCCACAACAGCCTCATCCAATGGTAAAAGGACTCACCTGACACATGGAGAACAAGCCTAGGCCACCATGCTATTTAGGCATTAATATAACATGTGCCAGTCTAAGTGAAGAGACTAAATAATAGCTGTGAATCTACAGTCTGTCTCAGTAAGGCAGTGCAGGGCCATGCCACATAAGTGATCCAGTCACAGGACTATTGGTTGCTCCAGAAGACATAAATTTCTCATCAAAATTGTGGCATAAAATTTCATCCTTTTAAAAATGGAACTACACACTGCAAAGGAAAATTGTATTATTTTTATCCAGCAAAGAGATATTTTGCTGAAATCCTTCCAAACCAGCACTAACATGTCAAATTTTTCCTTTTAACAATGACGAAAATATTATCCCTCTGTTTTTCTTCCACTGTTTAGTCATCCATTATTTTTTAATTGATTCTTATTGACTATGACAAAGTCAAGATTTCATCCAAAATTTTCCTCCTGATGCTAATGATTAGCATGTACAGCAAGTCTTATAGGTAAAATGACACCACTTCTTGCCATTAATTCATTTTGTTTCAAGACACTGACATGCCAGCTGCATATTTTAAGTTTAAACATCTAAGATCTGCTTTCCCAATATTGTAAAATCAATTATTAAATATATATATACAAATAATTTAAAAGATAAAATTAAATTAAGACCTGGTAGGTATTTTAAATAACAACATTTCTATTTGCTATACTTATTTCACAATAAGTCATAAATTAGGCTAGCTACAGCCAAGAAAAGATGAGCGATGATGGAAATAAAAAAAAAAAAGTAAACACAATATGTTAAAGATTCTAGAGTAACTTCCTTCAAAAGCAAAATTTCAGCAGCTTTTAGACTGTAGTAAGTCATATATTCTGGTTGCTTTGCTACCCCTTTAAAGAAAGAGGGCTGACATTAAAATTAGTAATAATATTAATCTGCAGGTGTCAAAGCTTCACAAAAATAAGTCAGTAAAATACCCTTGTCAGAAATGGTGCAATGAAGGCATTAAGATGGAGGACAAATTGTTAGTGACAGAACCAGGAATTAACAGTTGAGGTCTCCAGTCACCCAGTCCAGGCCCATGTGTGCTAAACCACCCCACCTCTGACAAATGAGCCAGGCTTCTTAAGCTGAAATTTCAAAGTGATTTATTTAGCAGTGTGAAACCATGCCACTCCACACAGACACCACTTCTGCTAATTGCTCTGATTACAATCAGCTTCTGCCATTGCTCTTGAGAGCACCGTGCTCTGTCTACTCAGCCTGTTTTGGGGGCTTCTCAAAGGTGGAAAACTGAGGTCACTTGTCCAGATGGAGAAATCACTCCTTGTTCTTCCTTGTTTTTGTTCTTCGTCTTCTTCCTTCTTCTCCACTGTCCCACCAGTCATGCTCACTAAAGACTTTAACTCACTACAGTGAGCTCCAATGATGCCCACCCTGTTAGAAAACATCATCTTAATCTGCTTGACACAATGAAGCAAAGGAGAACAGGAGAAAGAGGAACGGATTTGTAATGTTTCCTGGGTAAATCTGCAAGGAACCTTGCCTCCTTTAGGACTGGATATCTGTTCTCCCCTGGGAAAAACAAATAACCATGCTTATACCCTCAGCACCTTGCACACTGCATCATGTTTCATGAATGAATCATGACAGGGAAAAAAAATAAACATCCCATTTTGATTTTGAGAGGTTTTGATTATTTCTGTTCAAATCTATGTTAAAACATATTTCCTTTCCCCAGAAAACTTCTGAGTTTTAACAAAGCACTACGATGGCTGCTTTGCCACCAGTTAACCAAGAGTACTACCTCTGCAAGTTTCAAGCTCTTTCAGGTCTCTCAGGACATACACTCGTGTTCCTCTCTAACTCCTGTGTAGACCAAATCCTCAGTCCAATGGCCCCTCTCCTGGGGAGGAAGAGCTAGCTGTCCAACACCCTTCCTCATAGCACTACCAAATCTATTTATGCAGAGAAATAGCCTCTTACTTGGCAGTTAACAATTTGGAGAAGTCTGGCAGGCAGCCACGCGTGCAAGACTGAGGGTCTCTCCCCCAACAGTAGTGGTTCTGGGAGAGGTATTGAGCACTCTCCTTTGGCAAGGGCAGCAGTGTGCTGAGCACTGGCGAGCGCTGATGAACCATGTAGTTTATGGAAGGATGCTTGGCATGGACTTTTCTTGAAAGAAGACAAATGAAGGTGTTATCATGTCAGTATATTCAGACAGGGCAGGTTCCCTAAGGATTCACCAGTGTGTCAAATGTATACCTCAGATATGGCAATCGCACTGTATCTGCAGCAGCAGTCCTGTCTCCTGCCTTCTGCAAGTCAGCATTGTTCATGTATCTTAAGGCGGGATTGAATATGTCGGAGAAAAGAAGCCTGCCAATTTCTTCCTGGATCACTTGGAAGTGCTTCCGTCTGAACACAAGCCAAGCCACATAGCTGCAGAAGTTGTAGAAGCCCTAAATGGAAAACACAGTTCCCCTTTTCACTGGGAAAAGGCCCAGAGTCCCACTGCATCCCAGAGTTCAGGTTGGCATGACTCCACTAAAATGCCAGCAACCATTTGTCATCAAAATCTACCATGCATGCATCAGTGAAGTTTCGAATGGACTGACTTTTTAAAGGTAGGCAGACAGATGAGGCTAGAGACAGAGTCAGCTCAGATGGATTTCATTGTGCTCAACTCTCACCAATTTGGCTTAGTCTTGCTGATAGAAACTAAGGAGACAACGTGAGATCACCACTCAGTTTCCCTCAATAATCAATGGAAAGAGACCAATGGGATGAATCATTCTGTGGGGGTTCCTATCACATACATCTGTCTCAAGAGGCAACGATTCACCCTCTGGCTGAGCTTCTCTTTTCTGCAATGGCTGTCAAAGCAGCCGTAGGGCATGGTCTGACTGGACAGCTATTGTTTGGGCAGCTGCAGGTAGACAAGATGATCCCCACCCTGAATGACAGCATTATGATCACAGAAAATATTACTACCAAATGTGAACTCATCACATCTCACCTCCACATGTCTGCTTGATGATTAAAAAAACAAAATACAGCTTTTCACTCCTATTTAATATTTGTGATCCCTGGCATAAGCTGAAGCAACCCCTAATAAATCCAATCTCTGCCGAGTCTGTTCTTGAAAAGATGGCATCGCTGGAACTGCTGTTTGTTTGTGGAATTTAATCCACAGTTCCCCTTCTTCAAGGAAAGGCTTCTCAATTTATAAAGTATAATTCTGGCCCAGCTGTTTTGTATTAATTTGCTGAAGCCCTCCTACATAGTGAGTCTCATAAATGGCTGATGGAGCTGTATGTTGCAGGCCAGAAGAGCTTATTGGCCTCTAGAAATGTCACCAAGGGCAATGGAAGTGAAAGAAGGCTGTGAAATTTCTTACCTACAGAGATGAAACTACGAGGCCAATGATGAGAAGAAACCTATAGACCAGACCACCCAGAGGGACCTCAGGCTGTGGTGGGAACTGCCTGGGGTCCAAGAACCAGAGAGGGACTGAAACTCCTTGGCTGAGGGCTCCAAGGGAAAAACACTTGGACCAAAGGGCAAAGACATGGTATATTACAGGGACATCGAGGCCCTAGAGGTAAAATTTTATTCTAGGTACTCTGCCCTAAAAGTAAAGTACTGAGGGAACTAAAAAGGAAAGGAGCATTTGGATGTGCAGTGGAAGGACCTGCTCTGGGCTGACACTCAGTCACACTCTCAATTTATCTTTGTCTTTCTTACCTCAAAGAAGTGCCGGTCTTTCTGCAATGACGTTTTTCTCCTAAGGCAGTGAACAAGAGCACAAAATTAATAGCAGCAGTTGTCCTTTCAGTTCTCTGAACAGAGCATTGAGTATGACTCATGGGGCTATGCCCAGCTGGCATTTCACCAGGGCAATAAAGTTGCTGCTGGTAGATCCTCGTTACTAATATGCAGAGATCCACTGTCCAAGGGAAAGGCAGCACTTCTTCATTGCCTCAGGAGAAAATGCAAAATATTGTATGGCTCAGTTAATTAAATCTGACAGAGAACAAAGCTGGATGTGATGAGCAGGCGAGGCTCCCCTGCTATGCTATCTAGACTGAGCTCTCTGCATGGGCCTTTCAAAAGTGGTCAGCGCTGATCTAACCCAGTTCCCACTGGAGTCAATAAAAACTCTTCCTGACATCACTGGAAGAGCAACGAGCAGAGTTACCAAGGGCACAAAGCCAGGCCAGTGCTGAGACAATAAACTCAAAAACCAGGAAGGAGATGCTGCTGATGTATCTCCAAGAAGAAATGTAAAACATGCCCAAGAATGACAAAGGTCCTTTGTTAAAGAAGCAGCAATTTGCCCAGTGGAAGCCTGAGAGACGCTCTCACCACGCACTGGAGCCCGGGGATTCTCACACAAAGCCAAATGACTGAGGATCATGGAAACAGCCATTAAAGCAGAGGGTGATGCACACATCCCAGCAGCCAATCAGTGCTCCTGGAGTTGGCACAACTCACCCTCATGGACATGAAAGCAGATTTTCCTTGCTAGCCTATAGGTCCCCGAGATCTGTCTCGGTCCTGCCAGGAAAGCCTGTCTCCTCATCAAGTCACTGGCTCCTGACATGTCCCTTATCTTCCTGATAACATCAAGTGTTCCACACATCTAGGGTATCCCCAGCAACCATCACCCCAGAAACATCAATGTAGAGCAGACCATGAAGATAATACCTTTCAGCCCTACAGGTCTATCTACCATCTTCCGACTTTTATTTATTGATATTTTTGATCAAGATGACGATGTATCTTCCTACCTGGCTCCCACCAGCCATTAACCTGCTGACACTTCACATATTGTGCAAGGGAAAAGAAGCCTGACTCTGCAAGCATGGCATGGCCGTTTGCCAAAGCAGAACTCCCAGAACAACTCTGATGCTTTTGATTCCTTATAAATTCTGGTAAAGCACAATATTCTGTCTTTAGAATACCAGACTGGAGAAACCTAAAGTAACCCCAGCTTCTTAAACCTAAATGTGAAACCCAGCTTCAACTTTTAACATTACACAGCTTGTGCAGAGAAACCTATGTGGGGGTCAGCACCAGAAAAAAAAAATGCTAATAGAGTCAAATAAGGCCTGGAGTCTACACCCTTCTTTTTCCTAGTGCTTTCTTCCATCAGGTGAGGTACTAAGCTAAGAGACTTGCTTGAAGTAAAGTTTCCTAAAATAAGTGTTGAACTAGGAGGCACCTCCCATGTCTAGGGCACAGTTGCTCATTATCTAGGAAAATACAGAAAGGGTCAGGAAAACATCCAACTTGCAACAAGATTCAGGATGGGACTCGTAAGAAATGTGAATGAGTGAGCAAAGAGCATCATGCTTTCTAGAAATATAGTCACACCGATTTCTCAGAGCTGTCAGAGGGGTGAGATGAGTTCATGCAAAAAAGAGGAGGACAGTACAGCCAAGGGCAGACGGTGCAGTAAGCATGGGGTTTGGATGCAGGGTGGTAGTGACTTCAGACATCTACAAGAACTACTGTTGTGCATAGGGTCCCATGGGGAAGAAATGCTTCCTGTGCCATTTAGCAGCTCCCTCCACCGCAGCCGTGGCTCTAATTGCCCATGGATCAAGCCAGCTTCAAGGATCAGTAAGGGCTGGCTCGACTGTGTTTGTGCCATGGATGCATGCAGCTTTGGGAACACGCTGTATTTTTCCCATTATGACAAATGCCCATAAGGAAACTGGCACCATAAAAAAGGTTGCACAACCCCCATCAACATAAAAGGAGAAAGCCAGACACACCTATTCCTTCCTCAGCGTTGGAGGCACAAAAAGACTAATGCTAACATATACAAATAACAGGTCTGGAGGAACTCTCTCAAATTCCAGTCTGGGATAGTATCAAGATGGGATTTGAATGCTGCATTTTACAAGTCATGTAAATTGTTAAGATGAAGATGTTCTCCACCTAAGCCTCCCTTTTTAAATTTTCAGAGAAAACCTTTACATAAAATATCTGAAAATTCATATGAACACAGAGACATTTGGCAGATCTGGAAGGGAAAGCAGTTTACCAACATAGTATAAGATTTCCTTAAAATGTTGCTATGGTGAATTAGAGTGAAAAGCAAAAGCTTCAACACCATAATGAACCCATAGTTGGTTTATAGGAAAATATAGTAAAACTGGGGGTGGTACATTATCAATAGTTTCTCAGCTTTTAAATCTCAACATATTTCAGGTTAAAAAAAAAACCTCATCAAAAGTAACCCTCATCACAGATTCCATTTTGATGAAGGACCTTTCCAATCCAAAACATGTGTGCTCGAAAACTTCCTAACCATTTTTTATAATTAAGAATGTTAGTCAGTTCTGTCCCTTAGCTCTTTTTTTTGGCAGTTCACATAATGGTCTGGGAGGATCCAGATAACATTTAAGGCTAAACTGAGTCAGCCTGGAAAAGATTATATTTATATAATTGCATTATGGTATGGGAAGTGCCATACATTATAACATGCTCAGCATTAGCCTAACTCTGAAGTTAGTGTAGTCAGCTACCACCACCCTGCTATGAGTAACTCAGTGAGGTCTCGCTTTATACAGCACCTTACATCATGAAGGCTTTAAGACAAAGCACTTTTCTAGCCTTTGTGTTTTCACAGCCTGGACACTGACATCCCAACCCACTGCCAGCATCTTAACCCTCACTGTGATGGAAATATTAAAGAACGCAGTTTCTTCTCTCAGCTCTCTGCTCTCACTCCCATGCCGCTGGGTTTTTGACAGTAGACCTTTTCCTTGCCTCAGTCCTGCACATTCCCATCCACCAGACAATAGGAGTGAGTGAAGAGGCAGGAGAGCTAACTACCTGGGCATACGACAGGCTGCTTTATCCAGATGCATCCAGTTCTTGGAGTCAAGTTACTTTCTGCAGTAAGTTCCTCCAACTGAGTCTCATAAGTGCAGACATTAGGGCCACCCAACAGAAATAATGAAATGTTGTCATGACCCTCCCTGTCCAACCAGTGAGAAGGTTATGCAGGAATCTGTGAGCAAGGATTTGGCACAGAAGGCTGCTCCCAGGAGTGCCTGGTGAAATGCCGATGTGCAAGGATGCAGAGGGAACACATCCTTAATTCTCAGGGTCCAGCAGCTTGCGGGATGGGGCACACTAAAATGAAATGCTGGGACAGCAATTTCAGCTCCCCTTTGACTCCATTATTTCACAGGTTACCTTCTCCTCTTGATTAGAAGGAAACTCCGGTTTCCCCATCCCAGCCAGGAGCAAGGCTGCCCACAGCCATGTTGCAGGACTGCAGGTGAATATTTGTGGCTCCTCTGGGGGACTGTCAGCAGTTTCACACCAACTGACTGAAAAAGTTTGCCTGAAACTGCTCTGAGAATAACCCATGGGACTGGGGTGCCAGGTGGGGACTGCCAGACCCTTTCTGCTGCCAGGGGAAGGAAACATTGTGCAGGAATATACATGGCTGAGGAAAGAGTCCCTAGCACTAGCACAGTTTGTGATCTCTCTGTCACTATGTTCTCCTTCCACTAACCATTTTTTGTGGTGCTTAGTTACTAACCAGGGTTAAACCACAACTTCATCTCCTGTTAGAACTACCTTGTTCTTGTCCTCATCATTCCCTTGCTTTTTCTGCCTTTTCAAACACCCTTCCATCCTCTCCTGTCTTCTTCAGTTTCTTTTTTAATTCCCACTATGTGTTTCTCTCCCCTTTCAGTTCATCGCTGGGACCATCGCATTTAAAGAACAGTTGGTCTCCACCACTCTGTAAACACCATGCACCATCTTCCCTGCTCACAGATAGGAGCCCTACACCTCCAATGCTCAAGCACAACCTCTTCTTGTCTCTACTCCCTTCACTTGCTGCCCTTCAGGAACATGGTCTCCTTCACTTGCTAGACTAGTCTTACGCTATCTCATGTTTGGCATAAGAGGAAATTTATGCAGAGATCAGTGGCAACCAGCAGGTACATAACCATTTGCTCTCAAGATTAAGCAAGTGGAAGTGGCAGGGTAAGATCCAGGGCTCACTTTCATGCTGAACCCATCGAAGTTTCCCATTCAGTATATCTAGCAAGGCTTCTGCATACCAGGGACAGAGCTTTCCAGTTCGGTATCCAGAGCTCTGCTGCAACTCGTTGTGGTCAGATCAGTTGGTAACAGCTCACCAGAAACACTTTTGGAGTTGTTAGTTAACAGGTAGAGCTGCAGGGAGATCAGGACACTTCTCCATCTCATGGTCCTGCATCCCTCTGTGACTCCTTGGCTCACAGGACATTTGTTACCCTGGGCATTCATTTATGTCACTCAGCAGGGCCTTGGCCCTGGGCTGCTGTGGTCCTTGACAGAGTGAGTATCCCCAGAAGGGAAAGCTTTGCTTGGCTTACTTTCCACCAGGAGGGCGGTGCTGCTGTGCCATGCCTCGTTCAAAGATAAGGTTCGAGTACGCCTTGGCAAGGTGTATCCTGGCCACCGCTAACCTTGCCAACACATTGTCCATTTCTTTATTCTCTAAAAATATCACAGTCCTGTTTAAAACAGAAAGGGAAAAAAGTTTTCAGTGAAGTTGCTCTGGACAGAAGGGATGCTAGAAAGAGTGACTGTTCCTGAGAAGTAAGCGTGGTTTTCTGACACATAACCCGACACGCTGTGTGACGCTGCGGCCAGGGGACCCTTCACAGCGAGGCCGGGCTCAGTGCTTTCAGCACATCTTGGCAACGCCGGTGGGGCCACAAGGCCTGGGGCACCACAGGGCCGGGGCCACTGCCCCAGCCAGCCTCTCTTGCCCCACACAACTTATAAGCTGCATGCCCACAGCCCGTCAGGTTGCCGCCTTTGATCCTGCGTAGCTTATGAACCCTTTTTGCAGCCTGCATAAAAGTCCTGGAGGTGCACTGAGCTCCCTCGGGGCGCAGGCTCTGTCAGCGGTGGCCTGGGGCACTGGGCCTGGCTCCGGCAGAGGCAGCCCTCGCTTCTCTTCAAAAAGACTGCCTCTAAACAGGAACGGCTGACACCGCAAGCCTGTATTTTAAACCAATTCAGATCAAACACGGAGGAAATGCCAAATCAAAGAGCTTTCTATTTCTTCCGCTTCCCCTGTAATCTGCCCGGCTGTCTGCGGGGCCTGGGAGCACTGCCGGCCTAAAAGTTACCAGCCTCCTTTCACGCTCCGGAGAGTTGGGGTTTTATCTGTCCTACCCCTGATGGCCTCCAGCTCGAAAGCTTCCTACACAACCCACTTTAATAAATTAAGACAATTACTTTGGGCTCCTCAAGGATAATTGCTAATAAAACTCAGCAGATTTTCCTCAAAAGACATGAAAGGGTTGGAAGCAGAAACAGACAGAAACTAAAGGGGAAAGAAAACACAGGACAGAATTAATAGCCCTTGTTCCATTCATGTCTCATCCACCACTGCTGAGATTTTGTTCTTAGAGTCACATATTTCAGAGGCGAATACTCCCAAGCTGTCTCTGGTGGGGGAATGCCGCATGCCCACTGCTTTGGAAAATGGGTCAGTTGCTTTTGAAGTTAGTTACAAGATTTTCCTGAACCTACAAGAAGCCAGAAAAGCCTCAGGCTTGGATTTACAAAGAATCGGGACAGCATCAACAAAAGATAAACTCACAAGAAGTTAAAGATATCCAGATTCATCCTGAGTTTCTCTGACAGCAGCCCTTTAGTCCTTTAATGTTTAATGCACAGAAGCAATGGTTCCTGAAGCCAGGACGGTCTCAGACGTTCTCTTGAGGCACCATGGACACTGATACTTCTACACAGTCTACATTCAAGACAGCTGAGGAGCTACTCAGACCATCAGGCCTGGCTCCCTGTGGACAAGAGTGGTCCCAACAGATGAGTTGGGCATCTCTCACAGGCAGCCCAAATGGCAGGAACTGCAAAACACACCAGGAAGAACCAGTGATGTTTTCTGTGTTACTGGGTTATCATACACGGTCTACAAGAAGAGCAGCTCAAGGACTGCACAGCCTTCGGATGTGTCTGTCATATAGGAACGTCAGGCTGAAAGAGGACTAGGCGGCTCACCAAGCCCTGTCTCCAAGTAATCTGTCAGTTTAACTGGGAGAAAATTAGAGGTGTGACTAATGAGAAACATGACATGGTACCAGCATGTCTTGCCTTCAGTCTGTCTCTACTTGTGGCATATCACCAGTACTATACAGGAAAGCAAAAAAGTCTCTGAAACGAAATTATATCTTGGAGGAAGGGGGAGGGAGTTTTCTTCCTGAGCAGACCACTAGCAAGATCCCTGAGCATGGGATTTATGTGGGATAGATATAAGAAAACGAATGGCCATGCAATCTTCTTTCACATTCTCTCAAATACATTAGCATATCACAAACACGGGGATTCTCATCACAAGTGTAATTTTATGTCATTATGATTCTATTATGTAGTTATAAAATCTCTTTCACAAGCTCATGGAGCTCCACCTCCAGAGAAAAAGTAGTTTTCTTACTTGTCCTCACTACTTCCTAGTGGAAGACCATTCCAGAACTTTACTCCATAGGAGGAAAAAGACAGACCCTGCTACATTTGTTTTGAAATATAGCATGTACCAAGTTTGGAATTAGACCAGGTGGATAACAGAGAAAATAGGAAGTCTTGAACAGGGAAAGAAGATGCAATTATCAGAAAGCTCTTCCCACTGTGACTAATATCTCCCTGTTCCTCCAAGTCAGCTAACATGCTAAAACTATTAAGGATTAATTTCAACATTAAATAGGACCTAAAATTGCCTTTTGTAATTATATTTTCCTTCCTTGTATTTATACTTCATTAGATCAATATCCTGAATTCCTGTAAGTGTCTCTTCTTTAAGCCTCTCTGCATTACTCTGCCTGCAGGTAATCCTGAAAAGCAAGCCACTTCCCTTCAGGGGAGGTAATGAATCTAAATAAAACAGTATTGTAGAAGTGAGAGTCAGTATATGTTTCCCACCGAAAGGCAGGAGTCACTTTGGGAGCACAGCGTGTCAGAACGCAGTGAAAAGTGTCTCCCGCCAGGGTTTATCCAGTGTCATAGCTGATACCTACTAATTAGAGCCCCTTGATCCACGAAACATAACCCTCTATTGCAATAGGTCCAAACTCCTCTTAGTTTCAGTCTGTTTCTGTATTTGCCACATGAGTAGATGATATGAGCCATTTTGACATGCCACGGAATGACTTCCTTCTCCTTTGCCAGCCAAGAGCAAGGGGATCATTTTGTAAATTGTAGCCCAGAGCACCTCAAATGAATCTATGACCTTTGTGTATGAAACTACACTGATAGGTTTATTTATTTATTAATTATTCCTCTCACAATGAGAGAAACGCCTGGCAATCTCTGGATATAGAACAAATCAGTTCCTTAAGGCCAGCAATCCTCCAACAGTCTTTTCTTCAACCCAGACAAATCAGCCCCTCTTTATGTCAAGGCTTCATGAATTATGAAGTAAGTAATCATTTGGTGTTTTAAGAAGATGGTCAATGACTTCTCAGAGACTATTACAGACTCCAGAAAATCACTGAAGCTTCTTGCAATCACGGTTTGTAATACTGCAGTGCTTTTTCCCAAGGCATATAACTTTCTAACACAGCAGCTCCTAAACTGGCATCCCCACTTCACTCTGCAAGGTAGAAAGTGTGGTCACACATGCTTGCTTGGGAACTGCTTTCCTAGCATATATTCCTCATGCTGTAACATGTTTCTAGCATCTCAGAGTCATCTGAACCTGCTCTACAAAGTATTTAGAAACGGAGTCTTAAAGCAATGTGACCCACAACACAAATTAACACCCATCAGACTTGGCTGCGACTATTTGGTGCTCTCTCTGTGATGTGAGCAGAAATGACTGGATGCTAATGTTATTACCAGGAAATGGCACTAAGGGATGGTAATTTGATTCGGGACACTCACACAGATTTTGTGTTGGTGGTAGTAGTACTGATTTATTCAAATTGCAGCATTACCTTGAGGAGCCAAATTATTTGGTGACCCCATTGCAGCAGGACTGGATCCAGCCACCATCTTGAAAGGGAGACTATGGTGATGCCATGCCATGTGAACAGCAGCACACGCCTCTCAGGGCAAGGCTGGGGCAATGTGGGGTTCAAACCCTCCCAGAAAATCTATCTCTCTACAGAGCCAGGGGAGCCTGTGTTCCAGAGAGCACAGAGGGCAAGGGGACAGGGCATATAAATGGTGAGACCAAGGGCTTTTTCTCCTTACTATTCCATATATAGACCGGGCCAATATAGCACGCAGTCCTTGCTCATATTCTCAGATTCTGACACAAAAGACTGTCCTGTGATTCCAGACCCCTAAAGTCTTGTACTCACGAAATCAAGGATCTGCGTTTCTTTTCCAGGGCAATTTTTTCCAGGTAAAAAGATAGGTAGAAGAGCAGGGCCATGAGGAACTCATCTAGTTTCTCATTCCTAAATGGAAGGTAGAAAGGTCACTGTGAAGTCTGCAGATTTGCAGATACAGACACCTCTAGACCATTATGAAAAAGAACAAAGTCTCTGCTCAAGGGCCTGCATTATACCAAATATTAGCTATATGGCTGAGACCTATTCGTAGCAAGCACTCCACCCCACACCAAGACTTTGAAGGCTTTTAGAGAATTACTAACAGAGTCCAATCAACACTCTGAAGAGTGGATTGAATTGGATATTACCACACATACTTCCAAGAAGCATGTTTTCTGCACTGAACATACTGAAAGAGTGGCATTCACACTCAAAGGAAAACGGGGACAACTCAGACACCTCTCCCCTTCTGAAAGAACAGTATGGCTGAGGCTCAACAAGATCTACAGATACATTCCTAATTCAAAGGCAATCCAGCCACTGTACAGCCCTGGTGATCTCAGGGATATGCCTCTGAGATAAAATGCTCTGCCTGCTGCCTCCCCGCCTTTAGCCTGTAGAGAAGTCATGCTGGTAAGTGACTGCAGCAAATAATGAGCCCTGTAGCTCTGACAGGAACAGCAGCAGCACAGGAAGGCAGCCCAGACTCCCAGTCGTGTTAGTACTCCTGGTGCATGTAGTGTTGCAGCTGCGCTGGCTAACAAGGAATTTAACTTAGGGTAAGATGGATAACAGCCTTCAGATATTTAGGCCCAAGTTCTTGGCTTCCTTTGCTAACAGAGTGGAAGGCTTTCAAACAGGTGATAGGATTATTTCTCTGCACATGTCAAGGACGAAATGCATTTGGTGTTATTTCCCATTGAACCCCCCCAGATGAGAGATTTTAAACCTCTGATATTTCATATTCTACTTCTCATACATCCTGGTCCCTCCGCTACCGGCTACACACACATAATTCGTGAAACAAACTCTAAATTACATACCTCATAACTGCTGCAAATGACAGCATGTGATGTGACTCCTTTGCTTCTTTCAAAAGCAAAGCAGCACCTGAAAAGATAGAGAGGAGAAAAACAATATTTCCTTAAAAAAAATGCTAGTATTAGTAGAAATGGCTTTCTAACTTGTATGGCAATACCTTGCTGTTACAAAATACCAGCAATTACTCACATTTTACATCATCCAACGTCACATATTCATGTTCTACTCCCTTGGACAGCCTACACAAATTTTCTTCTTTGTCAGCTAGACTTCTTTCAGGGAGCGTTGCACTGCAATCATCTTGGAAGATGCTAGTGGTTGACCAATACATAACATTTAAGGGCACAGCGTTAATTCCAGTCTGAGAACATTGAGATTTTCTACCTGGTATGTACTCTCTTCATTGCACTCAGTTTCAAAGGGACAGGCAGTGAAATGTGTTTGGCAGGTATCCTGAACTAACTTTCAACTGTTTTAACCACAAAACAGGCTGGAGATGTTGCAAGAAATAGGACATTTCACCTCTAAGGTTGCGTCTGAAGTTGCTCTTTTAGTTGCTAATATAATAAATTGTGACTATATTATTTAGATCAAAGAGGTTTTAAGTAATGAATGAAAGTCAGCTAGACCATGTTGTGAATATATAAAATTAATAATAATAATAGTAATAATAATCTTTGAAGTGCCTTACACAGATGAATTAATTACCTCACAATACTCTTTAGGGTAGATGAGAATTATTACCTCGTTCTAAGCGATCTGGAAACAGCAACAAAGATGCTGAATGACTTTACCAAAGTCATGCCAGGCTAGTGCCTGAGCTAGCATTCAACACTGGGCATGTCTGGCTCTGTTTTTACGCTCAGACCACTCATCCACCCTGTTGAAATGACAGCTGGCTTCCTGTTCCACGTGTTTTGTTCAGACATGATCCTCAGACAATGGATGAATATTCCCACCGGAATGATCTTGTTTCTTTTTGAGCTAGGCTAGTCAAATTGAAATACCTCTTTAATGTCTTGACACGTATTTCCTTCAAGTGAGCATTTTTTCCTTTCTTAAGGTTTTCCTCAGCTGCTGGTTTGGAGCTGAAATACAGAGTACAAACATGCAGTAGTATGAATTACTAACAGCAGTGCAAAGAGGTCAACATCCCACGATACAAAGGCATATCTATTTTGGCCTCTAAGATTGTGGTGAGGCCCACGTGAGACATTATTTTCAATAACAGAGAACCAAAGAGTAAAGGAGCTTCCCTGCGCCCTCCTGCTCCATCTTCTGCCACCACACGCACTGCACCACATAAACCCTTCAAGCAATCAGTGTCTCAAGTGGCTTTAGGAAGATTTTAAATGTAAACTGCTCAGTTCCAGAGCTTTTCTTTGGGATCACAGAGGGCAGAGACAGGCAGAGGTCAGTGGGGAGCTCACTCCTCTCCCTGGAGAGCCTCTGGGCAGAGTCAGCAGCGTTCCCAAACCCAGCGGAGAAGTTGGCCGAAGCTGCTGAGACACAGACCATGAAAGGTGCGTGCAGAAGCTGCATGGCCAGGGGAAAGGTGAGCAGCCTGGCTCCACCATGACAAAGGCTTGGAAAATGCCTGGCAGGGCAGGAGGCAACAGCAGGGAGTGTGTGACTGACCCACAGCTGCCACGCTCCACCGTGCTCCCTGCCCTGTACAGAAGAGAGTGGGGGGGATACAGCTTGGATGTTGGGGTTTTCTGCCACAATAGTTTAAATGATAAAGTCTTAATCCACAATTACACTGAAATTCAAAGCACAGTTACATGCATTTTGACCCCCGCAGAGCTGTGGTTTCCCTAAAGGTTTCCAGTCCTCCAGTGCTCACCATTGCACAGGGTCATACGTAACACCAGCAACAGAGAGCACTGGTCTGTGGACCTCCACCTACAGACACCTGGGATGGCATTTGGCCCTCACATCCAGCACTGCTGCTCCAGTGCAGGGTGCACATTGCTGACACGTGGCAGGATGCGCCACACGCTTTTAGCCATCCCTCTGTGGTGGCTTCAGCTTGAGAGCAGTGTGGAGTATATGAATATTTCAGATTCTCTCCATTAACATGATGGGATTAATGCCACAGAGCAACTGTTAAGGAGCTCCAGTCTCAATCAAAAATAAAAAGTAATTTAAATAAAAACTGTTCCACAGTTGATGTTCAGGCAAAACAGTATTAGACTCTGACTTTACCTTACCTGGAACTGCTGTATCAAGGCCTAAGCCTACATAATTTGAACCTAAGCACCATTCTTTTACCTTGCAAATTCAAGTGTGTTGGTATCATCTTTCCAGTACCACACGCCCAGAGTTAGTTTTATCGTCTGCAAGAGAACAGCATATAGAGCACATGTCATAAATCTATGCTCAATTTCTCAGCCCAACAAAGTATTTATAATGCAAGCACTGTGCATAAAGGCTACTTTCTATCTTTCCTTAGTCTGCTTTTCACCTAGATGTTTTTTGTGTATGAGTTATTTGAAAAGTTCTATGAGATTATAAATTGCCAGCATAAGAAAGAAAAACATGTATCTGCCCTTTTTTATGTCTTTCAGGTTATGAATAAATAATGGAAAGTTTGATAAGGAACATTAGTTCTTTGATTGCCAGTGAATCAATAAAGGCTGAGAAATCAAATGGAGCCATGCATTAAACAACACATTGCTTTTATTTGGGTTTTTTTTAATAATATTTATGTAAATGTAGAGACTACGTATCAAAAGAAAATAAATCTTTGTTTAAAAATGCATGTTATGCACTTCCATTATATTCTGAGACCTTTAAATAAAAACCAGATAGACCTTCCAGGGGACACTGGGCAAAACTACTAGTAACAGCATTTTACGGTATCTATATATTTTTTTAAAATCCGTATGAAAAAAAAATCCCCTGTAAATAAATCAGACCTATTAGTCCTTTCTTAATTAACAAGAGAGACTTACAAACCCTTAACTATTATTTGCAGGTCATTTTTAAAGCAAAATTACTTATTGCTGAAATCCTTCTGCCTACAAATTTAAACCGAGTTAAACTTTCAGGCTTTCTGTGACTTTTTGCCAGGTACCATTCAGCCAGCCAGCCACAAGGCTCTCACAGACTCTTGCTCAACCTAATTTGGCAGTAGAGCACTGGGTACAGGACAGCAGAATAATTTCATGTCAGCAGCCACCAACCCACGCGATGGTTAGACCAGAAATTAATATTAGGAAACCATGGCTCTAATCCTTTGACAAAAAGTGGTTATTTCAACTTGTCCTTTCTAGTCCAGCTTTCTAATACTGGTTTACAACTCTCAGAAGAAAAAGGCCATGCAAATGCTATGCCTTCATATTACACACAAGGGATTATGAACCATGAAAGGAAAATAGAAAAGGTGGTAGCATGGCAGAACGAGGCCTACCAAGGCATCACAGGATGGAGAAAATTACACTCCTGTGTCTTCAAAATACATCTCAGCTGCTTCTTGCTAATACAAATGGCTGAATGACTGTCCCTGCCCTGCCCTGCCCACCCCATGGGGCCTCCTGTGGCCCCAGCATCTGCTGCAGAGGCCAATATAAACAGCAGCAACACGATGGAGCCAGGAAAGGTGAGGAGACTCACAGTGAGCATGGTGCTTGCCTGGGACACGGCCAGGAACAAAGGGGCTAGGGCAGGCACTGTTTACGGCAGTGTCCCGGTGACAGCCTGCTGTCCCCTGGGAACCGCAGATTCCAGCACACAAATTCCCCTCCAGCCTGTGCTGCATGGTCTGTGTTCTCTGCTCCTTCCCAGCTCCCCTAAGAGGCTTCCCTGGGTAACATCTTAGTCCAAACAGGGAAACTGAGTGTTTTCCAGGCAATAACATCTCCACAGCTGCTCATTTAGGCTGATGGTGTTCTTCAGCGTCGGGAGCTGCAGAGGTGTCCCTGGTTACTGGCAGCAGCGAAGGCAGCTGCACCCAGTCCCTCTGTCACGGGCACTGATGTCTGTACAACACTCTGAATGTTGAACATACTTTAGCTTGGGACTTACAAGATTTAAAAGTATATCTATCAGGTCATAAGTCTCCTGTGACGTGACCTAGTTCCCTAAGCGAGCAATCAGCTCGAGATTTGCAAGTTGCCCCTGAAAATAATTCCTGTATGTTAAGGCAGATCACTTAAGGGCATGATTTTGAGGGAGGAATTTTGACCCTTGGGATATTGTGAAGCATTATTTTTTGCAAGCAGAAAATCTCTCATACCGGTCAATCACAGTGGATCACTGTCATATATAACTCGTACTGCTTAGATCACACCCAAAATTGGTACAAGTTATACTGTCAAAAGAACTTTTTGCCAACAGAAGTCAAGTCCCTATGAAGGGTGAGGCTTCACGTTACAGCTACGCCTAATAGCTAGTTGTTGAAGGAAGAGGTATTCTCGCTCCCATCAGAGTTTTCCCATCATTTACCTTTGTGTTGACTCTTCTCTGTCCCCACAGCAAGGCGGTTCCCTAAACTGTCAAAAACAGTAACCCAGCAAAAATAAATGAGAAGCTTTCTGTCGAGTTAGCATTTATACATCAGTTCATGGTGGAGTCAGAGAAGGGTCAGAGGAGAAGCAGATCAAAGAAAAGGGGACAAGGGGAGGACCAAATCTCTCAATAGGTCAGGTCATCTATAAGGTGAAAACCAGCCAGAATCTAGGAAAATTTTGCTAGTACAGCTGCACCAGGCCAGCAGGTACTTTGAAGAGACCTAAAAGCTTTAGACAGGTCAGTTCAGTAAGACAGGAACATTTCCTATGCTTTTGGATCTTAAAGATGGTGTCACTCATTTTTGCAGTAGTTCCTAATTAGGGAAAATACTCCTGAAAGCAACACTGAGATGTTCATGACCACATGGAAGAATGCATGGACAATACAATGTGGGGAAGGAAAATTTCCATAAAACAGACTGCCCCTGACTTCCTCCCATTTCCGTAGCCTCCCAAACACTTTTCTCCTGTAGGTACTCTGTAAAGGTTTATGCATGCAAACAAAATCAGTCCATGGATAGCTAAGCAAGAACCTCAAATCATCCTGAAAATTCAGCTCAGGCTCTGTTCTCTACAGTCTGGGTTTTTTTTGGTGTTTTTTTTTTTTTTTTTACGATCATATTGTGTACGTTGTGTTTCCAGTTGCTATTGCAGGCTGCCAAGTACATATGCATGACTTGGCAGCCAAGTTACATATTTAAGAGGATGAGAGAAGCAGGTTTGGGAACGACCTCAAATCTCACCCACGGCAGCCAGGCAGCACTGTAGAAATAGGCTCCGTATCAGGGGGAAAGTGGGAGGCATGGAACTGAGGGCTCATCGACTCATTTTTATAGAGTGGGGATGTCATCAGCCTCAGGAGACCATCGTCCCATCTTGGCTCCAGTAAAAGCCATGCCAAAAGAACTGGGAAAAGTAAAGGACGTGTTGCAGATAGCCAGGGCCACCCGTGTGAGCGTTCATGGTGCTGGAGGCAGGGGAGACAAGCCTTCGGCTGTACTAGAGTTGGGAGCAAATTGGCACAAAAAACCCAGAAGAAAGATGGGGACAAAGTAAGAGTGACAACTACCTACAGGGAGAACAACTGTGAATGTAAAGACTGGGACTGAGAGCTAGAGAAAGAGCTGGCTAAGCAGGCAGGGAAGGCCTGGGAATGAGTGCAGCAGACAGGTACCTATGGGAAAATTAAGAAAATCTGGAAGTGATTTGTGGAAAGTGGGACAGAATTGGCTCTGGCCAAGCACGGGGACCAGGACAGACAACAGTGTAAGGGGGAACCCTGAGACTAACTGAGCTACCAGAGCAGGAGACCTGGGATGCTCAGATGCATCACTGTACTACCCTTTACCAAGTGCTTGCTGGAGGAGATCAGCTCAGCCCAGGTGTTTCATGAGCTGTGGGTGCAGAGGTGAGCAACAAACATCCCACCTGTGCTGATGGCTCAAATAGGTACCAGTCTGGAAAAAAAAATTAAAAGCCTGGCATTGTGTAGCAAAGGAGATTAGTGTCTGTTGGATCCCTGCTTCAGCTGTTGCAAGAGTTGGAAGCTGTAAAATGAGCGAACCAGAAGATTACAAGAAGTGAAATTAAGGTGTAATGGTTGAAGCAGTTGAAGGCTACATGGGAAACTGATTTCCATATGGGCTTCAGTCACAGAATGCCAGGCAAATCACCCCAACCCGCATTTAACCCTAATGACCATTATTTGCGTGCTCTTTGCTCTCTGAGCCAACCGCCTGGCTTCATGGAAGTCTGAAATGCAGGACTAGGTACCACAGCTGTGACCAAACCCAATAGGAACTCTACTTCGAACAGCCCAAGAAGTATATAATACAAATCTGTCTGAAAAAACCAGTCCCTTGGCATTTCCAGTAGAAGACCCCATATAGACAGATGGCCCTTGGCTTTTGGTGTTTTGTTTTATCACCTTCTCTCTGTGGGAATTCTACATATCTTAGGGATGAAAACTAAATGTTTAATGTTGTGAAGCACTCAAGATGTGATGGTGATGAGATCCACAGACAACATCCTAACGGATAATTCTTCTCCAGAGCAGGGGCTGGACAGCACACAGTAAATAAGGTGTATGTTGAACTAGGAAATATTACTTTCCTAGAGTACATGCGGCCCATTGTGTGCACTAACTGAGGCAGGTGCCCTACAAAAGAAAAAAACTTTTAAAACCCTGTTACTGTGTAATTAAAAACTGGGTTATGATGCATAAGTACAAAGAAAGAAGAAATAGGCTTGCTCTGATGGTCATAATTCTGAACAAGTGGCCTCGCAGCCTTATTAACCTTCTTTTAATGATGTCTCTTGTGGTGTTTGTCTGTCCATGTGTGTCCCAGTAGCTGAGAACACTCAACAGTACGCATATGTATCCATTCTTTAGGTATATCTAATGTTTAATTCAGATATCCCACCCAGAAAATAAACACATGCATAAACTCAACAAAAATATCCCTAACTTGCCATCCAGTCATTCACCTTTTCTGCCTCGTTTCTTCTTGCTGTGTCAAGTCTCTGAGGTCCATACCCACCGTATTAATTTCCTCCTCTCTTCCCAGGGGCAGTTAAATGTCATCCCTGGTTTCTCTGGGAATATTAGACTCTGTGTGTGCGCACTACTGTTTGTATTAGACACACAAGTACCGAATTCAATTTCACTGTAGCTAATACTTAGTCCATGACTATGCCATTTACCTGCCAAGTTCTTCTGCCTGCTCATTAAAAACAGGATCATGCTATATGAATGGAATACATAATATCCTTAGGCACAATACTATGAGCACTAATGTGGTTTTTCACTTCAGACCTGTGCAAAAATTGAAGCTCCTAATTCTTTGTTTTCAGCAATTTTCACTGTTTTCACCTGTTAACACTGCTGCATTTCAGTCCCATCCCTTGGATCATCC